TCCATAAAAGAAAGTGAAGAAAAATAAAAAGATGTGGTCTTTACATCTTTTTGTCCTTAAAGTAGATGAAATACCATCTCAAATATGTATTTCTTCACAAGACATGTGACACATAATCAGTAAAACACGAGACTTGGGTCCATTCATCTGTCCTCCTTCCTTATACGATTTTAAGCAATCTTTCAGCATTTCTTAAATTTGTAATTCATTCCATTATTTTACATATATGGCAATGCATTGTATTAACTTTTCCATCTATGTGAATAATTTTTATGTTAGTTGAAACAGAAATCCCATCTGAACAGCCTCATATTTCAAGTTTTAATCTTTTAAATGGATGTCCGCGGATTATGGCCGGTGTAGATTAATGTTTCTTTGCCATTGTGTTGGACAGAAATCTCAAAAATGTTCGAGACAATAATCATTCCAAAGTCATCTTTTCTATGGTACAGTACTATTTAGATATTTATTTAGTTTCTTAAAAAGTAGCCCACTGGCTAATTGTCATCGTCTTGTAACCAGACTGCATCTACTCTGAAGTCACTAGCATCATTTGTCATTTTAAAGGTTTGGTTGAGTTGGTGCACTCAACAACTGTTAGTTTATTAGAAATACCTTCAATTTCTCAAAGGCTACTTGGTATTTTGCTGTCCAGGCCACTTTTTCTTGTTTTCATTACAAATTTGTTAAAGGTGCAGCTATCATGATGAAGTTACCCACAATTTTCCAGTAAAACTGAGATAGTCACAAAAATGACATGATGTCCCATTTATTTTTAAGAACAGGGAATTCCATTTAGTCTTCACTTTTGATGTTCTTAGCAACACTTGCACTTGCCTTACCATATGATCCAGCTAGGCCACCCTTGCTTTTGTAAGTTCACCTTTGGCCAAATTTATGACCAAGGCACCTAACTGTAATTGCTTAAACATGACCTTTAATTGCCTTGGATGGATTCTGATGTTACAACATCTAAATAACCTACACCATTAGGTACTTTAGCAATCGCTTGATTCATAAGTCTTTAGAGTTGGGTGTTTTTTAACCCAAATTGCAAGACTTGACATTGGTGTAACTGACATCTTTATACTTCCTAAGCAACCTTACTAGATACTCTCATCATCTCTCCTTTAAATATGAGAGCACAATGAATTGCAGGAGTTTCACTTTGCGAACTATCTTTCCTTTTACCTGATCCTTATTGCCTTGTTCATCCTCCATTACTCTTACCACCTGGCACCCTTTCTGCTGCAAATCCTCTTCCTTGCGATGATGTGTTGAGGTGATATCAATGTGACATTTTTCTTTATTGAATCCTTCTGATCTTTGATCATCTTCTTGCAAGTCACTTCAGTTCTTTATTGAAGACACAGGGTGGTTGGCACACTAATTGTTCAGTCTCTCAATCACTGTTAGAGTCAGCAGCTTAGGGTGAATGGTGAGACAGAATAGCTAGCTATTTTCCATTTCTTTCTCACTTTCCTGCAAGGAAAATGAGAATACAGTACTGTCTTTTTAGAGTCTGGATGCTTTGTGCCACTTTATTGTTCACGTACAGGCTGCCCACAATTCCAGGAGCCAATCAAAGAGTTTTTGCCATGCTGAGCATTCCTGATCCCCACAGCTAATCCTAATTGGTTTACAATCAATAGTGACTTTGGGCATGGGATTGATGAGTCCAGCATTCGACACCCCACAACTTGAACAAGGCAACAATATAAATACGAGTCATTACGAGTTCCACTAAATTGTTTCAAAACTGCAACATCTTCCCGTCTAGGCCCGAAACGTCAGCCTCTCTGCTCCTATGATGCTGCTTGGCCTGCTGTGTTCATCCAGCCCTGCACCTTGTTGTCTCGGATTCTCCAGCATCTGCAGTTCCTACTATCTCATCTTCCACAGTTTATTAGGTTTAAAGCCCTTTGCTATTTTGATCCACAGTAAACAAAAATATGTGGTCTTTACATGATCTGTAATAGAGGCCCAAGAACACAGCCCAGGTTAAGGGATAGAAACATCTCTTTAGTGATATGAAGTTTCTATTATGTAGGGAATTACTATTGCAAACCTACATTATTATATTTTGTTGCACAATAATATTGGAGCTGTGCTGTCACCAAGTGTAATCTTTTGGGATTTATGGATGTTACAAACATTCCACTTCTGCAAAAATTCTGGCAAGTTTTCTCAATGATGCTTGATATTTGGGTGGTAGATTTTGTGTGGATTGGCCATATTTGTCATATTGGAAAAGAATGTCTAAAATTGTTAACCTCCACATACCCATTAACTCCCATTCTATCCAAAGTCTTTGCTAGCTGCGTTGAATACATTTGATGGCTACATGTCCACAGAACTCTAACAGAGAATTCCAAAGATCCACACTTCTTAGAGTGAAAGAAATTCTCATCACTGTGTCCTAATTGGCTATCTGTTTGTCCCTCAGCCAGTGGAAACATCCTCCCAGCATCTACCCTATCAATCCCTTAAGAATTCTGTATTTTTCATCGAGATCACCCCTCATTCTTCTGCAGTCTGGAACTACAGGCCTAAACTATTCAATCTCTCTTCATTGGACAGCCCCCTCTCTCATCCCAAGAATTAGCCTGGAGAGCCTAAATTGCATTCTCTTCAATGGATCACTTAACCTGTTTAATGTAAGGAAACCAAACTGTATACAGAATTCCAGATCTTCACTAAGGACCCATACAATTGCAAAAAGGCTTCATTATTACACTTCAGTCTCCTTCTCATAAAGATGACATGCCTTTTTACAAAATATATAATTTAACTAAGTTGTTGTAAAGCTTCTGATACTGTGCCACACTATTGAATGATGAATAAGGTCAGAGAATGCAAGATTAGGAGACAAGTAGCAGAATGAAAAACTAGCCAACTTCAAGGCAGAAGGAAGAGGGTCAGAGTGAAAGGTAGTTATTATTAAAAAGTGGTGGTAAGTGGTGTTTCACAAGGATCACTGTTGTCCCCAATGTGTGTTATAGATTTTGACTTTCAAATTATTACAATTTCTAGTTTTGCAGATAGCACCAAATTAGAAGGGATAATTAATAATGAAGAGGACTGCAATGAATTATTAGATATTAACTACATTGCAGAATTGATACAGAATTAGTAAATTAATTTCAGTATTGATGAATACAAACTATTACATTTTGGCAAAAAAAATTACATATTACATAGAAAATAAAAATGGGATAGAGACTTGAGGCTGAGGCTCAAAGTTGAAGTTTGCAGTTACTTGGGAGGGGAGATGATTCATTCGGCTGCCAGCTGCTCTGAACTGGGCAAGAAAACTTGGAGTGACATCACAAGAAATGGGTGAGTTCAGTGGCTGATAAGAAACCACCATGAGGGAATGTCTCTAAGTAGCTGTAAAGTTGGAAAGTGTAATTATTTTACTTAACCTGTTCAGAGATGTTATGATGCACCTCTGGAGCAGGTGGGACTTGAGCTCAGGCTTTTGATAGAGAGTTTTGATGAAGATTTTGATAGACTGGCACAAAATGTTTCCATTTGCAGGAAAGAGCAAAACTACAGGCGCAAAGTCACCAAAAAATGATTAACCAGTGCATTTAGAAGAAATTTTGTTACCAAGAGAGTGATGAGACCCTGGGTTATCCTTGAAATGAATAGTATAGCTGCATTCAAGGAGTGGAGATGAGAGTTTGAGGTTGAAGGCAATATAGATGTTTTTAATCACTTGTTCAGAGATTTCTTACACATCTTTGGAACAGGTGGGTCTTAACCCCAGGCCTTCTGGCTCAGAGGTAAATACTGTACCACTGCTCCACACGAACCCTCTAGAAAGGAATGTAGGGTTATGCTAGTTGATGAGGAAAGGTAGGAGGAGTGTGGAGCATAAATGCCAACATGGACAGGTTGGGCCAAATGGCCTAGTTCCAGGCTGTACATCCTATGTGATTCCTCATTTCAATGAGAACATTGGTTCTTCATTATTTCTATTTTATGTATTCTACTGTGAAGACAGATACCAAGTAATGCCTCTGCCATTTAATAAACCCACCTCCACTCCCACTCCCATGATAATTGCTCCTATCCCTTCTTGAACGGGAGTAATATCTGTTTTTACTAATCTCTTGTTGACAATTAAATATTGTTGTCGTTCTGTGCAGTTGTTGATGCCCAATATTTGAGTTATTTTATAAGTGAAATATCCATGAAAGAAAGAAATGTGGTCCAATGTAAAGTGAAAAATAACAACTCAAAATTTTAAAAATAATCACTTATGTTTATGTTTAGCAAAATTAAACTATTTCACTTAATCTGGAGGAGGGATGAAAGGAGTTATACATTTCCAAAGAAATGTTTTTGGATTAGAAAATGATCTGTAGACTTTTGTCCAGTCTCATCACTTACATTTTATAGCATCAGTAGTTCTTTACTCATAAAATTGAAACCCTGGAATGGTTTTGCATAGGATACAATAGTTGCCCTACCACACCCTACAATGAAATGTCTGCCTCATTGCCTTTTATGCTCCAATTCTTGGAATTTCCATCTGCTTTTACTTGGCTTGACATTTTTAGCATCATCCTGCCCCATGAGATTTCACAGCATGCAGATTTAATGTCCAGAGGATGTGGTATTTGTCAGTTTGTGAAATATGTCTGGTGGTTCTTCCTTCAGCAGCTTTCATTTGCCTGCATTCTGTGTGGTCTGCCTTTGGGTCACTAAATTGAGTCCACTTCAGTCAAGTGAACATTCTCTCTTCCCAGCTGCTTGTGATATGCCTGAATTTGCAAGAGAAGCTGTCTTTTAAAAGGGAATGCTGACTAGGATATTAAGAATGCAGACTAAACTTCATTACTTTATGTTGATAACCTTGAAATCAAAAGAGTAAATCCCCAGGAGATGTTTTCTGAAAGATATAAATCTAATTGTGATTGATGTTTTCTTCTGAAAAAAGAATAGATAAGTTTTTGTGTTTGAAAATCTGTTGCTTGTTCTCTTTGTTGAAGGCATTAACAAAGTCTGCTGTGCAACAGCAGCAAGAAGCAAGCAGAAAACACCTTCAATCAGCCATAGAGAGGCAAATGCAGAAGTGTGAAGAATTGCTCAACACACAGGTAATGTAATTGCATTTCTTTATTTAAAAATGTTAAGCTTTAAGCTTGTGACAGTGATTTTTCTCTCCTCGACCTACTGCGTCTGTCTGCAGCTTCTGACATGGTTGATTACACCATCCCCCCTCACCAAGTGCACTCTAACCAAGCTGGGTGGGTCTCCTCACTTATCAGTCTTATCTATCTGATGATATTAGTCTATCTAACCAGATTTGCAATGGCTGCATGCTCCTATTTCTATCTGCATACTGCCTATCAATGACATTGTCTGTAAACATACTTAGTTTTCATAAGTGTGCTGATGGCAACCAACTGCACCTCAGAACCCACCTTTCTTGACTGCCCCACTGTTGCTAAATGATCAGGCTGCTTATCTGGAATTCACTACTGGTTGAGCAGAAATTTCCTGCAGTTAAATATTGGAATGACTGAAAGCATTGTTTCCAGTCCTTGCTCCAAACTCCATTCTGTAGCAACTAACATTATCTTTCTTCCAGGCAACAGTCTGTGATTAAACTAATGAATAAAAGCAAAGTATTGCAGATGCTGGATATCTGACATAAAAACAGCAAGTGCTGGAGAAACTTAAAGAGAAACTCAAACACTGAAGTAGAGTCATATTGGATTAAAAACAGTAACTGTTTTTTTCCCCACAGATGTTTCTAGACCTGCTGGAGTTTCTCCAGTATTTTCTGTTTGTATTTGAAATTAAACCAGCCTGTTTCCAACCTTAGTGTCATATTTGACCCATAGTGAGTTCCCGATTTCATTTGTTCCATCATGTAGATGGTCTGTTTCCACTTCCATAACACTGCCTGACTGCTGTTGGCTCACTAATCACAACCCTTGACATGACTACTTTAACACACTCCTGACTGGAGTCCTATACTCTATCCTCTTTAAAGTTAAGGACATCTATTATCTTTGCTGCATATACCTTAACTTGCACCAAGTCCTGTTCATCTATCATCCCCGTGTTTGCAGATCTGCATTGTTTCCTGGTCAAACAACAACTTTAGTTTAAGACTTTCTTCCTTATTATCAAAATCCTCAATCACCTTGCTCCTTTCCAACTCTGTAATGTTCTTTAGCCTCAGGACCGTTCACTCCCTGATGCAGTGATAGTGTCCTTATCTCTGGGTGACTTCTGGATTGAAGTTGGACCTGCCACAGCAGCGTGTTGTGACATGCCGAAATAGATTGGTTAGAAATAATTTTTGGTACTTGAGATGCAGTGATCGTGCCCCACCTAAGGGCCAGCAGCTGTGTCTTAACACTTAAATTTGCAGGTGACACAAAACATGGAAAAATTGTAAACATGGAGAAGTGCAGTGTAGAACTCCAGAAAGACATGGACAAGTTGGTGGAGTGGGCAGATATGTGGCAGATGAGGTTTAATTCAGAAAAATGAGAGATGATGCATTTTGGTTGGAAGAACATTGAAAGGTATAATTCTAAGTGGGGAGGGTGAAGGAGCAGAGGGACTTGGGTGTATGTGTGGATTGTTGAAAGTGACAGGACAGATATCAAAAGAGAGCAGTAAGTAAGGTATACGGTATCCTTGGCTTTAGGGGTGGAGTGCAAGAGCAAAGAAATAACATTGACCTTGTTTAAGACACTTGTTAGACTTCAGCTGGTATATTGGGTACAGTTCTGGGTACCACGTTATAGAAAGGATGTGAGTGTATTGGAGAAAGTGCAGAAGCAGCTTACAAGAATGGTTCCAGGAATAAGAAACTTCAGTCATGAGGATAAATTGAACACATTTGGATCATTCTGTTTGGAGGGAAGAAGAGCAAGAGAATATCCGATAGAGATTTTCAAAATCATGAGCAGAGTTGGTTAGAGTAGACACAGGGAAACTGTTCCCGCTCATAAAATGAACATGAACAAGAACAAGAGGACACAGAGTTAAAGTGATCTGCAAAAGAGTCAATGGTGAAGTGAGGAAAAACTTTCTCGCTCTGAGTTGTTCATGTGTGGAATGTACTGTGTTGAAGTATGATGGAGGCAGGTTAAATTGTTGCACTTGAGGGCATTGGATGATTATTTGGATAAGAATCATGTATAAGGGTGTGGGGAGAAAGCAGGAGATTGGCACTAGGTAATAATGTCCATTAAACGAACTGTTGCAGGCACATAGGGCTGAATAGCCTCCTCTTTTGCCATTGCACTTCTATGATTCTGTCCATAGAGAATAAATACAGTTCGGAACGAACTGTTTGTGAAGTTCTTTACTGCCAATTTTTGAATAACCATTCAGTGGAATATATGTTATGGTCTGTAGAATAGCAACAGTGCTTTTAGTGATGAATGCTACTACTCATCATGCCACTTGTGCAAAGATCCTGAAGGGCAGACAGGCAAGAGGAGTGGAGACCACAAACAAATCATGTGCGATTTTATTGAATGGTGAAGCAGCTCAAAAAGCCAAATGACCTACTCATCCTCAGTCCTTTGTTCCTATCTAAAAGCAATATTAGAATAGAAATACAGGATTGGGTGTGTGACCTGAATAAGAGTTCGTAAAAAATGCCAAGTGTAACAAATAAATTGCAGGCTCAAATTCAAACTGAAGCACACACGTTATAACCATTGCTGCATGAGGAATTGACAATAGCAAATTATAAGTCCTGTAGGAAAGGTTGGGAATCAGGTACAGGAGGAATAGTTTTTGTGATGAAAGCTGAAATTAATGATAGGAGACATAACGAGGTGAGCAGGCAGTATGTGTAAAATTAGAGGAAAAAAAAGATTTAAGCCTTTGTAGGAATTGTGAATAGATGTTTGGTGGAAGCTGTGAAGTGGCTGAATGGATAAATGCGGAGATTAGACAAACACGTAAAAAAGGCAGACTGGGTTTAATTGAGTGTTTTAGCTTGTATGGAAAAATTGATAAGCAGACAAGTGCATATCATGATGGTAGTGAATTTCTTTGGCATGTTCAGATGGTTTTATATGACACCATGTCTTAGAACCAATAAGATGGAATGCCAGATCAGATTTAATAATGAAAAATGAGGCAGATATATATTTTAGCTGAATAGCCTGTGAATATTTATCAGTGGAAACATCATTGGGTTCAATATTGTGCTTGAAAGAGGGAAACATGACCTAGCTATTGGAATTGTAGGCTTGTGTAAGGCTGACTTAAATAGGACAGATGGAGACTGTCCACAATAAACCGGGCAAATCGGAGAATGGAAAAATGACCTAAGAGTCAGGGAGGGTTGTTCAAAACCAATTTAATGTGACGTAGAACCAAAGTGTATCTTGAGGGGCCTGACACTGTGCTTGTCAAATTTAAAGGTATAGATCAGTAAATATAACATCTAAAAAAAAATACAAAAAGACAAAAAAAGCACAGATCCAGGGAAATGGCCATGGGTAACAAAGCAGCAAAAGCTACAGAAATCACCCTGTAATATTTACTGTTTAGGAAAAAGATGATGATAAAGACCAATGCTATTCTTTTGAAAACTGAAGACAGTAAGACTTTGTAAAAAGAATGAGAAATATTTTGAACATTTACTTTGTGTCAGCATTTACAGTAGGGAAAGAGGTTAGCATGCCAGACATCTGAAGGAAATTAATATTGAATCATGGACAGAGATCAACAAAATTAACAATATTAGTGAAATAACAGTAATGAAGAAAGTATTGACATTAAAGCCCTAAAATCTCTAGGGTTTGATAACTTCCATCCCAGGATTTTAAAGGAAGTGGTTGAGAACATTACAGATGCCCTAATTATAATTTCCAAAGTTCTCTGAATTTATGGACCATTATTTTTACATTGGTTTGTTACAGTTATTCCTGACAGTTAACTGTCAATCATTATCTGCTGCATTTTTGATGACAATATCTCTTCCATTCATAATACACTTGCCTGCCAATCAACACCCTCCTCTTACACAGTATAATGTTGCTTTGCCCCTTTATTGATATTCTTTTGTTTTTATTAAATCTGTGCTTGCCAATGACTCAAATACACGTTTAACAGTAACCCATTTGAAATAGTAGTAACTGCATAAAATGTATAGGCATTTTGATTGCTGTAGTGCTGATCTGCAAAGGGCAACTCCTTTACATAGGTCAAGATTTGGTCTTCCCAGAGTTGTCACAAAAGTTAAAGATTTTTAGAAGTATGCAAAGGTTCCCCAATTTAATTGACTTTCAGACCCAGGTTGAGATAAAGCATGGACCTAGTTTCTGTATTTAACAAAAAATACTACTTATTACAACAAACTACTCTAGCTACAAGTAAACATTTATGAACCATGGTTTAATAGGGAGTGCAGGACGGTAAGCCAGGAGCAGCACCAAACATACCTTAAAATGTGCTGTTAACCTGTGAAGGACTACTTGCATGCCGCACATCAAAATCAGCAAATGATAGACAGGGCTAAATGACCCCACGACCAATGGATCAGATCCAAGTTCTGTAATTCTGTCATATCAGTCGTGAATGGTGACTGACAGTTAAACAACTCACTGAAGGAGTAGGCTGCACAATATCCCCGTCGTCAATGATGGAAAAGCCCAGCATATCAGTGCAAAAGATAAGGCTGAAGTATTTGCAGCAGTCTTCAGCCAGAAGTGACGATGGGCCTTCTCTAGGGTCCCCAGCTCGCCAGATACCAGTCTTCAGCCAATTTGATTCACTCCACGTGATATCAAGAGACAGTTGGAGGCATTGGATAGCACAATGGCTATGGGCCCTGACAAGATTCTGTCAATAATACTGAAGACTTGTGCTCCAGAACTTGCTTCTGCCCTAGCTCAGCACTTCCAGTACCATTACACCACTGGCATCTATCCAACAATGTGGAAAATTGCCCATGTATGTCCTGTACGAAAAATGCAGGACAAATTCAACTTGGTCAGCTACTGCCCCATCAGTCTACTCGCGATCATCAGTAAGGTGATGGAAGATGTCATCAAAAATGCTATCAAGCAGCACTTAATCAGCAGCAAACTGATTACTGACACCCAGTGTGGAT